ACCTGTTCCAGGGGACTATGAGCATCTCTCAAAATGTCCTGTAATTGTGGTAGGTCACCTGTCCTCTTGATCAAGGAGGCCGAGGAGACCCCATGAGATGGACTTGAACCAGTGTGCAGGCTACAAAGAGGAGAATCAATACAGAGGAATCATTTCCTCCATGCTTCCAAGCAAAGCCAGCCATAGTCTCATCCATGTTTCCAAGAGAAGCCAGATACTGTGGAGCAGGGCCTTTGGCTTATCTTCACATAGATGAAATTGGTAAACGAAAGGAGCCAAGGGCTCCTCCCAATCCCATATGACCTCTTAGGAACAGATCCTCAAATGGCCTTAAGAGTGAAAATAAATTGGTATATTTGGGCCAACCATATGGCCTTAAACACCCAAAAGGAAAGTATAACCAAAGATTAAAGGGGTCGATATAACTTTTTAGGAGTCCATATGTATAGCTAAAGGCTACATAACAAGCAACAATGCCAGATAGGAGATACTTTCTTTTGAGTTATTGGCCAGGGTGGCCAAAGGGACTTCCAGATAGTAACCTAGCATAGAACTGGGAAAGTGAACAGCAGACCCCAATCTTATCTAAAGGAATATTGGCAACTGATTGCTGCTAGATGAAGAACAGCTGACTTTTCCAAAACAAAGCCCTCTAGATAGGCTGACTAGATTCACTGGATTGATAAGTAGTGGGGAACGGCTGCGGGTGCTGAGAACACAGTGGGCAGTAGCAGGGATAACAGAATATAAGGGCTCTAGTGGGGGGATGGAGGCTGTGGGAGGGTGCCATCTGGGAAGTGGGTGTATAGTTGAATAAGACGATTTGGGATGTTCTGTGTGATACACACACAAACAAAAAAAAAAAAACAAATTAAATAAAATGTATTATATTTGAGGAGGAAGCATACAAATTTACATCATGTTAATTAGTAGAGGTAATAAACATTACCATTGAAATCTACCCAATGACTTTATAGACATACACAGGTGCCAAGGATCTGAGTGCAACCAATTATGACTAGTAATAATCAGATACATACAGACTAGAGACGCATGTGCCAACATCTCAGTGTTAGTAGCAAAATCAATGAGTCTTTCTGTGAGAAACAGTGTATTTTAAGATGAAATGGAGATCTTTTTTAAAGGTTAATAACTCATTCAATTTTATGTCTTACAGGGCTTATACTGAGTTCAATATTGTATAACTGTATTAATTCAACAGTGAATCTAAAAATTTTGTAGCCACTTTTGAAAGAGCTGTATCTTTGCTCTGGAAACTATTACTGAG